CTGGCCTGGTTTGACGATGGTAAAGCTAACTTCTTTAGTAGCACTCCTTTTTTGTGGAAGTACAATTGTCATTAGTATTTATGTATATAAGCTGTCTTGCAGGGGGATTTCTAAGTATTTAAATGGGAAGTATATGATGTGGGACTCTTCAGATGCCTTTGTAAAAAAGAAAACCTAATTCAAACATAATATTTAGTATTTGTATATATGGCAGGTTATATTTTCAAAAGATGGCCATGACAGTATCAATATCTCTTATCCCATATGCTTTTTTTCTTTTTTTTTGAGACAAAGTCTCCCTCTGTTGCCCAGGCTGAAGTGCAATTGTGTGATCTCAGCTCACTGTATACTCCACCTTTTGGGTTCAAGTGATTCTCCTGTCTCAGCCTCGAAGTACTGGGACTACAGGCAGATGCCACCGTGCCCAGCTAATTTTGGTATTTTTAGTAGAGATGGGGTTTCCCTGTGTTGCCCAGGCTGGCCTTGAACTCCTGAACTCAGGTGATCCACCCACCACAGCCTTCCAAAGTGTCGGGATTATAGGCGTGAGCCACCGTGCCCGGCCCCATATGCTGCTTACGGTGTGACTTTGACACTTCTCTCACTGGGAAGGGTAATTTATGTCCCTCCCCTTGAATCTGTGCATTTTTTGTGGCTACAGCAGAAGTGACACTCCTATTTCAATTTTTTATTTATTTTTAAATTTCAGTAGTTTAGGGGGTATAAATGGTTTTTGGTTACATGGATGAGTTCTTTAGTAGTGAATTCTGAGATCGTAATGCACCCATCACTGAGATCATGCCACTACTGCACTCTCCAGCCTGTGTGACAGAGTGAGACCTCGTCTCAAAAACAAAAAACCCCAAAAAGCCACAGAACTTATTAGGTTTGATTCTATTATGTTTTCTGTCTTGCCTAAATTTTTATTTTCAAAATTTTCAACATTTCACAGTATGATACATATTCTTATGTATTTATTTTCAGTAAATATGGATCTGTAGCAATATTTCAGTGTCTGTCTAATATTCTAAGTGTATACAATAATTTATTCAATCTCCTTTGTTGATGGACATGGTTTGTTTCTTATAAATGCTTTAAAAGCTTATTTATAGGCACATTTCCCCACAGCTTAAATGAATAAATTCATTAGTCATCAGATTGCTATTGATTTTATTTTATTTTGTTGAGATGGAGTCTTGCTCTGTTGCCCAGGCAGGAGTGCAGTGGGGCTGTCTCGGTTCACCCAAACCTCTGCCTCCTCAGTTCAAGCACTTTTCCTTCCTCAGCCTCCTGAGTAACTGGGATTACAGGCGCCCACCACCACAGCTGGTTAATTTTTGTATTTTTAGTAGACAAGGGATTTCACCATGTTGGCCAGGCTGGTCTCAAACTCCTGGCCTCAAGGGATCCAACTGTCTCAGTCTCCCAAATTCCTGGGATTACAGGTGTGAGCCATCGTGCCCGGCCACCAGATTGCTATTTTTAAAAAACATATTACCAAGTAGTCCTTCAAATAATCTGTAACCAACAGAGTATAGGAGATTACCTATACAGTAGTATAGGTAGATTAATTATATATAGTAGATTAATTATATTCTAATTTATTATAATATATTCTAATGTTTAATAATATATATTATTCTAATGTTTAATTTTCTTGTCTCCTCTACTGGACTATGAGCAACCTAATTTGTTACTAAAGCCATTTATTCTAGCAGCTGAAATTACCTCCTTCAATTGCAAATGTTAATATTATGAATCTAGTTTTAAATAAAGTACATAATAGTCATACTTTTCTCTAGCTATTTATTGAACTAGCAGTTCTTATTGTTTTATCATTGCTCTACATGTTGCTGAACCATGAACCCTCCCTTCATATGACAAGCATTTATTGAATTGATTAGCTGTGTGCCAA